GAATGTCCATGTTACTTATATTTTATTAATAACATTTGATTGTCATTATGCTGTTAAACATTATGTAATGTTGCATCAAAATTTGAAGAAACCCCTATTTTGGGCACTGCTCCTATGATTACCATTTAAGGGAAATCATGTCACTTACTGTTCTCAAACTTACAAGAAAGAAACATGGGTCTAACGTACAGCTTCAATAGGCAACGCAGTCTGTTTGGTAAATTTTTCTGGCAATTTAACAGTTTTTTGTGAAAATTTAATTTTTCACTTATTTGCATCTTTATTTTCTGTTCTTTGTCTGTACATTTGACAGCTTTGCTGCCTTATTTCAAATTATTCTTACAAGAATGATTCTTAGGATTGACATACAGCTCATATTAGAAAACCAGCTCTATTGGGTTATCATTTTTATTAAATTTATGCATTTTTGAAATTTTCATTTTTCTCATTCTGACACTTTCTTATTGTAAACTTGAACTCTGATGGGCCTGAAGCCTTATGCTTTTACTTTCATCAGTGTTACCTGTTGTGCCTAATTAAAATTTGATGTTGACTGTGCAGTTAAACATAATGTATTATTGCATCAGAATTGGCAGTCTCCTGTTTTTGTGCATTATTATTTTCTGCTTTTCTTAAGGTGTGACTTATGGGCCTGAAGACCTTTGATAGACAAATTTGTGTGGTCAGTCTGTAAATTCCCTTTGGGTATTCACTAGGCTAAGTTCAGTGTTATAAACTCATTTGCCTAATTAAGTGACCATTAAATGGAATTTCATAAGGCACACTTGTTGATATTTCCCTGTAAACTCCCAAAGGTTAAGCTCTCTGCTAGATGACATACACCCCATTCTCATAGATTAGATCGACCTACATTGGATCGACCTAACTCCCTGGGGGTTCACGCTAAATAGCTGTCAGCCGGGCGGACACGAAAGTTAATTACCCCTTAAAGCTTGTAGTAGGCGGGGACGGACACTTAAGGGGGATTATCTGACAGTAATCTAGTGAGACTCCCCGCGGTGATAGATCGATCTAAAAGTTGTGAGAACAGAGCCATAGTGTCCATAATAAGGAAGCAGGGAATAGCAGCTTCATTGGGATTATATTTCTGTTGTTTTCTTTTTAATTTTTTCTCCAACACTGGCATTTTTAACTCCCATCCACCTGAGGCTCTGCACATTTTCAGTATTTCCACATAAGCAGTTGTATTGGTATTTATGTCTTTAAAGGCCTACTGTGGTCTAGGAGCACAGAGCGTTCACTGCTTTTTTTACAGTATAAAAACTATAAATCGACGTCAAAAAATTGTTCTTTTTAAGTTTTAGAGAGAAAAGATGAGATTTAGATGAAAAAATTCTGATTGGTCAGTTTCTAGTGACGTAACCCGGGGAGTAGCTTCCCACTGACCTGGCTCTCCGGGAATGACACTGGTAAACTGCACGGGTGTGAAAAATAATGTTAGCTGTCACACCTGCATGTATTAGGTAACTTTCTCTTATCAGTCGGGATAAGAACGTTCAGCCGATGCGACAGATGGGCATGTGTGAAAAACTATGTTCGCTGCCCTGCTTCCAAACCTTTACTGTTAACATAGTTTTGGTGTATTTTGTTGGTTAATAAATGATAACCACGTAGGGAATTCATCTTCTTTTGTGTATCTATCTTCAAAAATTTGAATTTATAAATGATCATGTAGTAATCAATTGCGTGTATCGCTATTAGTTTGCACTGCTAGCGAGTGCCTAAAGCCTTTGCCCTTTGGTCTAAAGTTCATATTACCTGTCACATGCAGAGATAATATTTTTTTGAAAATTTGTTAAATCTAAACATGCATTTACTCAAAATTTTGCTGACATATTTTTGTGTAATGCAGATGGAACATTCATGGTTAGGATTCTGAAATAGTGATTATTTTGTCTGGTTCAAACAAATATCCTTCAATTCGTTCTCTGTTCATTTTTACAAAATAGTTCAGACAAAGCGATCGAGTAAATGTAAGTAAGCGGATAGCTGAATAGAATATGGCTTTCTGAGCCTCGACGCCAGTGACGTCACTCGCCTCAAAGCGCCACCACGTGGGAGTATCGTAAACTACATTCACATCTGCATAAAATCGGCTTTAAAAACCAAATAAACGTAAGAACTTTTTTTTCATTACTCAAAAATGACTTTTGGGCACCTAATGGATAGTTTTAACCCGTTTTTTCATCACAGTATACCTTTAAATACACTGTAATATTATTTTATGCACTGTCATCATTTTTCATATATTGGGACTTTCATCATGTGAAATTTAACTCTCATGGTCCTGAAACTGTAATCTTATTGAAGGGGTGGATTGAGACCATCTTCTGGGTCTCCTGGAAGACAGTCAGACTTTAAAGGTTATATTAACGGGTTTCTGTTGGAAGACCATCAAAATGGAGGATGGATCAACAAAGATACCTTGGATTACTGTCAGAAAATATCTCTTGATCTGCTCCTGTTATTGACCATTTTACCTGTTGTGCATGATTAAAAATCAGTGTTGACTGACTGTGCTATTATAAGCATTATTTATCATTGCATCAAAATTGACAAAATGACCTATTTTGCATTTTTTTTCTGTTTTTTGTCTGTACATTTGACAGCTTTGCTGCCTTGTTTATGATTTATATACCATTGTTTGTACAAAGACTATCTCCCTAGATGCATGTATGTTTAAAATATCACCAGTTTTTGACTGACTTCTTTTTTCTTTTTTCGACTGACCTTTAATGATACTACGGGGTTGCCAGTTAGTTGGGAAAATAAAATTTCCAGACTCTTCACTGACCAAATTTTTTTATTCGCTGCCTAATACCACATAATTTTCCTGGCTCCACCTCACCAACAACCTTCCAATCCATCCATAATTGTTTTTTTTTTTTTTTTTTCTTAATCAAACCAACTTTTATTATGTAACGCATGCGCCATTACCTCCAGCTCTTCTCATACACATGTCCCGAGTCCAAGCTTGTGACCTATTTTAATGGTACGTTTTAAATTGTGATGTTGCCATATAGGCCTTTGAGAGGAGACTTGGCATATTGAGATTCAAGTCCTGCTCTCAAAACAATTGACTGGCTAGGTCTGCATATCTGGTTTTTCATGAATTTATGGCAACATTGTGAAATTTTTTCCTCATCTGGTGTTTTCATTGTGTGAATATAAACACTCATGGACCTGAAGCTTCATGCTAGTTACATATTCCAAATCTCCATGTTATAATTACCTACTGAGCATAATTTAACTTTGGTTTTGCTGTTATTGCTTCAAAAAAACCTATTGTTTCCTCCTTTTTGTTTGCACATTTGACAGCAACCTTTTCATTTCTCTTCTTTAAGAGAAGCCAAGGAAGTCTTTCTGGCCCATGCAGCAATGCAGAGGAGGATAGTTACAGCAATATCCCTGTGTTTGGAAAAATCCTGCTCAGTATGGAGTATGACTACAGGAAAGGTTGGCTGATTATACATATTTACCTATGCCAAGACCTTGCTCCAGCTGATGTGAAGAAGAATAGATCTGATCCGTGAGTTTTTTTTTTTCTATGCTGTGTTTTTTGCAAGATACGGTATAATTTGAGATCTTAATACCATGTGAAAGCAAAACATGCCATTTGTAGCTTATCTCCAACAAAAACAAAATTCATGGTTTTATCCAAATGTGTCAAACTTAACTCATTCACCTAATTTTTACACTGTTTAATTTATGATCGTAATATTTTGAAATATCTCTGGGTTGCAGCTATGTCAAGACCTACCTCTTGCCAGATAAATCAAGAGGTGGGAAGAGAAAAACAAAGATAAAGAAGAATACATTGAATCCAACATTTGATGAATCACTACATGTAAGTTTCAGCATAAACTGTAAAGAAAATAAAGAAATTATTGTTTCATTAGTTGGTGCCAAGCTAAGCATTCACGGTGAGCAATTCAGTGCATCAAGAAATTGTTTTTTTTTTGTTTTGTTTTGTTTTGTTTTTTGTTTTGTTTTTTTAATGTACATGTTGTGATTTATCTGCTGACAGCTGCCCACTGTCTTGTTTCAGTACATCGTCACTAAGAATGAGCTGGGAAGATTTCTGTGGCTGTCATTCTGGCACAGTGTCACCTTTGGCCACAATATGTTCCTGGCTGAGGTCCTTTTGCCTCTTAATAAACAAAACTTTGCTGACACCTCACCACAGTGGTTCCAGCTATCAGGAGTAAGTTGGAGAAGTTACAGTAGTATTCAAAGCAACGCTAAATGTCGATTTAAAAAGCAGGTTGAAACATTTATGTTGGGAAAAAGTTCATTTCTGTAATGGTGGTGTAGAACATGTTTGTAAGATTGTGGTTAGAGTCTGGTTTTAATGGAACAGATTAAGTTTGTTCTTGGAACATGATCTTTCACACTGAATCTTATTTTTAGTTTCTGCCATGGCATATACTGTAAAGCATGGGATTGGAATATGTTACTGTGCAGAAAATACAATATAATTTTGGTCTTGTTAACATCAAACTGATATTTTATTTTCACTGTAGGCTATTTTTTATTGATGATAAGTATAAGCATCTTGTACAGACACATTGTGTTAATTTAGTTTGTGAATCCCCACTTTTTCCTGCAATACAGGACCATATGGCTGCTGGGGATCGAGACCAAGCCATTTCTAATGTTACTCAACCTCACAGCATCAAAACAACAAGAGGCCAAGTTCTAAACCAGGCTCATATGGGCATCCAGTTACAAAGGTCTAATTCATCAAAGACATCATTACAACCCAACTTTGAAAACCAGGAGGATGACTTCCAATCCCAGGCAGCAAAGAAGATAGTTGTACAAGGACAATTTCAACAGAATCAACCATCATTACTACCCAAATGTGGCAACCAAAGGTTGCAACGAGGCCAATTCCAATCTCAGACACTACCTGGTGAGTCAGCAGGACCAAATCAGCTCTGTCACCAAGAAGGACAATCTCAGAAAAGCAGACTGCCTCAGGGACCACTCACTGACCACCACCTGGAGGAACAAGTTGGCGTCCACTTTCAAACAAGGAGAAAATCAAGCCATTTCTTCCCACCTTTACCCCAACAACAGGACTCTGTGGGTGCTGGGGGTCAAGACCAGGGTGTTACTGACTCTCAGACCATCAGAACAATGGGAAACCAAGTTCTGAACCAGGCCGATGGGGATATTCATACCCACGTCTCAGATCTAACATTGTTATCAAAAAAGAGTACACAAGAGAACACAGTGACAACTGATCCAGAAACTGATCATCATACAAATACATCATCGGTGCAGAATGAAGTTGTGGCATTTTTTAATCGGGACAAAGTTCAACAGAGAGAAGAGAAACAATATAAATGCACCAAAGGCAATGAGGGCGAAAATGACGATCACAATATTTACAGGCAAGTTTCTGTTTTTCTTCATAGAGATTTATTACGATATTTAACAAGCTACGCCCCAGGCAGGACATGCATACATGTATATCCATTACATCTTCAAGAGTACTTTCTTCGGTCTGCACAAGGACCACCCTTTCGTGTTGGAGAAGAATACTGCTACGAAGCAGTGCGACTGTCCAGTTTTAAGGACTTGCCCAATTCGGTCCCGGTACCAGCAACGCGACTTGCACAGTCAGGGTTCCATTACACAGGAAACAGTGACGAGGTAGTATGTTTTAGCTGTGGAGGGAGACTTAAGGAGTGGACCTATGGAGACAATCCGTTTGTGCGACATCGTAATTTCTTTCCAGATTGCCCACTTATGAATGGGACTGAAGTGGAGAATGTTCCCCTTTTCCCGAGAGATCCTGATTCTAATTTCAACATAGGCGCCAATGTTGATCCTTTCCCAAACTTAGCAAACACCAGGTCTACACCACGTGACCAAAGTGGCAATTGGTCCTCACTACTGTCAAGTCAACAGGCACTATCCAGGCCACTGGGCATCACTTCACCAGAGGTCGCCACCCTGCAGTTCACGCCATTGGAATCACCCCTTTTCCCTGCAAACATCAACGGAAACACATCAGTTCCATCAAATGCATCTCACCGGACTTCCAACGTCCCTTCACGGATGAGGAACGAGTCTGACCGCCTGACAACTTTTGTCAACTGGCCCAGTGGAGCAGGTGTCCTACCCAGAGACTTGGCAAGAGCTGGTTTCTTCTACGTGGGCATGGGGGACCGGGTGCAGTGTGCCTTCTGTGAGGGGGTTTTAAGGAACTGGGAGCCAGGTATGAGTGCTTTTCATTGCAAGAAACTTTGTTATATCCTTGTCTATTTTGTACAAATGGTAAAAACAGGAAAACGGTTGCTAATACGTAGAATGGGAACATTCCAAAATTTACCAAAACAGCCTTTTAAACTTTTAAAACTGATGCAATATTGAAATGACAGATTAACTTAAAACATTGATTTGTAACTTTAATGCTGGTTTTGGCAAATCATTGCTGTTGGACGCACAATAATCTTCAGCATCAGAATGATGACATTGATCGTTGGTGACGTTTGTTTTAGGTGACCAACCAATGCAGGAACATCGCAGGTACCTTTCAACCTGCCCGTTCATCCTAGGACTGGAAGTCGGGAACATTCCTGTGGAAGAACCAAGCACAGCTCTTCCTCTTGCTGTGTCAGAATCACAAAGACAAGCTGTGGGAGGCAGCACAACAGGATCAGAGAGTAAGCACGAGTTAACAATGATTCTAACACTATCATCTTGACAAACGGTTCTGCCAGGACAAAATACATAGTGAATCATATTCAGGCGATACAATGTAATGACCCAATTAAACGACACCCTCAAAGCTCAAAGTATCTCAAAATGCTTGCAAGGCGCTCCAGCTGTTCTTTTTGATAATTCGAGCACTTTGGTGGGAAGCATGATTATAAAACGCAGTTGGTACCTGGAATTTTTACCCTAAATCAAGAATTAAGTACTAGATATATTACGAGTCGCCGTGCTTATCACGAAATAATAAAAAATTGAACTCTGTAATATCTGTATTTTCTAAGGTCCGGGCAGACGTCAACAGGCCGTGCCTTGCTCTGTTCCGTGTACTCTTGCATTCCTGGGTGGCGTCACTCGGAATAGAGCACAGCGCCACTGTTTCTGCTCGAACCTTGGGTCATAATGTATTACATCTAGAATGCATGTTAGTTTAATGACGTAAACCACAAATATTGAATGTTTTTAAACTGCCTTTACTTATCAAGTCGATCATTAAAACTCGTCCTTCTATGTTTTTGCCTCATAGATGCCACAAATGGAGCCACACTAGGGATACTAACAGCGAGACCCAGACACGAAAAATACGCCATTGAAAACACCAGAGTTCAGACTTTTGCTAACTGGCCACCATCTCGTATTCCGTGTCCTGAAGAACTCGCCAGGGCCGGGTTCTTTTACGCTGGTAACTCCACTATATTTTTCACTGCAATATATTCATCAAATAAATAATTACTATAAATAAGCTCATATATCATTTGGTTTTGCCAAATTTATAGGAAACATGTGCCATAAGAGAAAAGTTCACCTTTTAAAGCATACCAACACCCCATATATTATAGCAAGGCCACGCTGTGTTTAGAATGTAAGGATGGAAGTGAAGTTTAACAATCGCTTCACAGCTTTCAGGATCTGTTTTAAGAGATAGGCGTTAATCAAAACTGATCCTACATGAATACAAATGGAATGGTGACCTATCTTGTTATCTGGGATAGACGACTAACATGGTCCATTAAGTTTATGGTTGCAACGTTATGATATTTGTTCTATATTTGTTCATAACAGGCTTTGGTGACAACGTGAAGTGCTTCTTTTGTGACGGAGGGCTGAGGAATTGGGAACCACAAGACGACCCTTGGACTGAGCATGCGCGTTGGTTCCCACGTTGTGGCTTTGTTCGCCAGTGCAAGGGGGATGAGTTTATCCGAATGATCAAGGAACAGAATTCGCCAAACAACCAGGTAAGCATATATTTAGTCACATCATTGAGATTTACTAACGGTTTAGGCTAGATGACTTTTTATGTACAGACACAGAATTTTGGGTGCTGCTGCCATGATGACCATCATGGGAAAACCATGTTACTTATGAAACACAGGACAAAAATGTAGCTCGAGTTGGAAAAGCAGCCTAATTGGCTTCTTTTTCTGGAAGTTATACATTTTAGTGAAATATTCATTTTTATCATGTTGGCATATTCATTTGGGACTCGAAGCTCCCATGGACATGAAGCCAAATGGTAATCAAATTTTCGACATGTCCATGCTATTTATAGTCAATAATCAAAAATTGGTGATAATTATTCTGTAATTTATTATGTAATGTTACATCAAAATTGACAAAAATCATTTTGCACTGCTACTACAAACATTATGAAAAGAAAACTGTGTTACTTATTATTATTTTCAACTTACAAGTATGATTTTTAGGATTGGCATGCACTTCAAAATTAGAAAGCCAGCTCAATTGGGTTATCATTTATTATTGAATTTATGCAGTTTTGTGTGAAATTTTCATTTTTCTCATTCTGGCATTTTCAAAGTGTGAACTTGAACTCCCATGGGCCTGAAGCCTTATGCTTGTTACACATTTTACTTACATTGGTATTACCTGTTGAGCATAATTAAAATTTGATGTTGAATTTGCAGTTAGGCATAATGTACTTTTGCATCAGCATTGACAGTAGCCTATTTTGTGCATTGATGTTTTCTGCTTTTTGTCTGTACATTTGACAGCTTTGCTGACTTGTAAAATAATTGCTGCACCTTGGATCATTAGGCAATGTTTGGATTTCATTTTAAAAACACAATAATTGTTAAAGGGATAATGACTGTTCGTTTAGGGCAAAAATGAATTTTCCAATCTTTTCATACTTACCAATGGTAAATGAACCCATTTCTACTTTCAAAGTTAGTCCCTGTCTTTTTTTCTAAGAATTTTGTTTTTTTAATAATCTCTTAAGAGATTATAACAGAGTATAGCCATCTATTGAGGTTACGTGGTCCGATGACAAACTCATATATCAGAATAATAGTTATAAATGCCGTTTTGTGGTAAAACAGAATATATTATATTTTTATTAGTTGTTTACAATGTTTTTATCGTGAAATATATATCTCATACGAAGAGTCTTCATCCCTTTTACCAAGATACATTCTTCTTGGTGAATGATAAAAAAGGAGAAGTTGCCTTTTGTGTGTATATCTGCACATGTCAGCAACCACCATATACAGGGTTACTATTAAATATGGAATTTTTTTATCGTTGTTCGAGTGCTGATTAAAATTCTTTTGGCTTGATTCATCAGAAATGTATGTTATTGTGTGAGAAAAATGTCCAGTCTTCTAGTGTGAGATATTTTGGTAAATAATATCAAATATGACATAAGATGTCATTCAAAAGAAAAGGACACCCCCAGAAAGCCATATCAACAGTTTGATGTCAGTATTAACTTTAAGCTAAGAAATTAAAGAAAATTATAGCCTCCGGACAGTGATATGTTACACAGTCAAAGAACTTATTACAGTAAGTCATGAAAAGTCATCAATAGCGGGTACAGTGTATGACCTCCAGCAGCCGCTTGCAGCGCCCTCATCCTACATGGCATACCCTGTGACAAGATTTTTACAGTTTGGATGGGGATATCATTCCACCCAGTGACATTTGCCTGTCGCATTTCATCACATTTTTACCGGCCGATGACCATAGCTATTAATTATGTGAGTTACTTTCGCCCACAGATTTTCAATTGGGTTCATTTCTGGGGAGTTTGTAGGTCAGGGCAGTTGCTGAACCCATTGGTTTTGAAGAAAAACAGTGATTCTGCGAGCTCGATGAGGTGTTGCGTAGACGTCTTGGTATACAAAGTTGTTCCTTACGATAACTTTTACGAATCGAAGCATTGTTTGCTGTAGAATGTCTCTGTAGAATCCTCGTTGAGGTTGCCTCCTAGAAAGAGCAACTGGTTCTGGGTACCGGTATGAAATGTTCCCTAAACAGAGACGTTACCACCCCTTGCTTGCACCCTAGGCAGTACACAATCATCGTTTTATGCCCCTCGTACATGTTGGCAGACACGGATTCAACCGTCAACCCTAAAAATTCCATATCTGGCCTCATCACTGAAAACGACGTGATTCCAGTGTTTTGGCTGCACACGCAGGTGGTCCTCAGCCCATTGCAGACGTCGCTGTATATGACCTGCTGTTAACAGTGGTTTCCCCACTGGTCTTCGTGCAAAATAACTGGCTTGTAGTAATCTTTTGTTCATGGGGAACCATGAAACGGGCGTTTGAATGACATTCTGCCACTCTTTTCTGAGGACACTGGGTTGTCTTTGTACGACCAGCTTGGCGCACTCTAAGGAGAAGTTGATCCTGTCTTCTTGGTGTGATATGCGGACACCCTGGTCGAGGTATTGGAGTAGGTGCCCCTGTTACAGCATTTCTTTGGAGGACTTTACTAACGGTTCCTGGTAAATGTTGAATTGCTTGGCAATGACTGTCAGCTTCTGGCCATTTTCTCTGAGAGCAAGAATCCCATAGTAAGCTGCGTTGCTCAGCTGTCAAACCATATCTTTTCAAGGTACCTGATAAGTTTCAGAGCGATCCCTCTGTTGCTTCTCTAAATACACTCCAAAAATTGACCAAACCCATGCGTTTTTATACAAGGGCAGAAATTGCCGAAAAGACCACCCCTCACATTTCTGACCACAGAACATGCAACTGCATGCATCAATTGTTTCCAGAGTTGTGTGGTAATTGGGTAACACACCTAGCTTCACGTGGAGTGACACCTCAGTTTTGGATTTAAAATAGATTAGATAGAAAATAATTTTTTGTAGAAAATTTGCTCGCCAAAAAATAATATTCCATATTAAGTAGTAACCCTGTACATTGGCTATACTCTTCATATTGACTTGATATTGTTTTATTCAATTTATCCTTCCCAGGCTCAAACACAAACACAAAGACCACAAGGTAAGTGTAAGTGACCCATGGGTTCCTGATCAACAAACACAACAATCATTTACCTTGTGCATAATGCCTGGCTACATTTCATACGTTTTGAAGCAGCAATCAATTTCATAGATAAACAGTAACAATAAGCCAGTCGATTTAACGAATGCAATTGTTTTAATCCATTTTTATTGCTCTTCACAGAATTACCGAAATTGGTAGATATATTTGAGGTAAAAGAGCAAGTCCTTACTGTTCTTATTTGTGATTAGGCCTAGACTCCATCAAACATTCAATAATTTGGAGCAAAACATTGCTTTATGCTTGTAAATAAATAGCTGAGCTTGCCTTTCGTCTCAATACCCTGTTTATATGCAGGTGCGCCAGGCAGTTATCACGTAGAAGCCCGGGAGATCAAAGCCCGTCTTGACACCCCGACAGTGCAGGCGGTGTTAGATATGGGTTTCAGTCGAGATACAGTGCGTCAGGCGATCGAACAAAGATTGCGAAACACCGGAGACGATTTCCCCAGTGCAGCCACTTTATTCGATGCCGTTTTGAATATCGAGGATGAAAATAACCGGCAAGGTGCGGCGGCGATATCAGTAATTCCCCAAGAGGAGCCTGGTCAACAACCACTAAACGCAACTCTGTCTGAAGCACCACCACATAAGGCAGCCCAGAAAACATCACAAACACAGAATACGGGTATTTGTTTGAGTTGATAGCACTCTGCTATGTTTACTTGCGGTTTAAAATACAAAGTTAAAAATAATTATATATTTGTCTATAAAATGAAATGTATATTTTAGTGTGGAAATAAGTATTTTGCTGATTTCGTGCACTGTAGATGACTTACATTCCTTCATAGTGGCCGTTACTAATACCTGCTTTTTTTTTTTTTTTTTTTTTTTTTTTTTTTTTTTTTTTTTTTTTTTACTTGAATTCAATAAATAACTCGTTCACTTACTTTAACACGCATACTGTCTTTCTTAGATGAACACCAGTGCCGTGACTTTCACCTCTGTGTCATTTAGTTTATATTGGCTACTGGCGTACTTGAGACATCTTTACAAAAGTATTTCAGTCCTCATATATTATTTATTTTAATTAATTTCAGACAAACTATCTAAAAAAGACAAGAAAAAGAAGAAACAAGACGCTCCGGTAGTAAAGGACAGTGACGACAAGGGTGAGCACTTGGCTTTAGATCTGTGTTTGATATATGTCATAAAGTGTGTCATAAGTTACTTGTAGCATCAAAATGTTGATAAACCAGAGTACTGTGCACGTGGTGAATTGATCAAAGTCGGGGTCATCAGTGCCATCAAGGCCATCCAGGTACTCGATGGTAAAGTTATGGTAAAGCATGTACCGGAACCGGGTTTTTGAGATGGAGAAGCAAAATAAGGCATAGAGGGTTAGAAAAATGTGTATTTACTGTTCCACTACTAATGGTTTCACTGCGTAAGCTACAGGTAAGTAAGTCCAGATATGCCCATAGATGTTAATTTTAAATGTTAATTTTTGCGTGAGACGTCCCTTCAAGCAGGGGAGCTAATTGCAAAGTGTACTAAATACTTCATTGCTTGCTACGTCCGTCTTACTTGCGAGGTCCTTCGAGGGAAGACAGGTTTTGTTTGCGGCCTCGCACATTATTCGTAGAATCTTCTGGACATGTCCAATATCCTCCGTAAGTACTTAGGGGCTGTCTGCGAACTCGACATTTCGTGCGAAAATCTGGACGCAAACAGGCCGGTTGTGACCGAGGGTATACGGATGAGCGACGTCAGCCACAACAGTGATTTAAAGTTGTAGGAGCAAACGTGTGTATTTGTAACTATTTCCCAATGCATTAGCGTTATAACATTATCACAATTTTAAGTAAGTTTTGGTAATTTTATTTCAGAGACCAAATCCCTGATTGAAGAGAATAAGAGACTGAAAGAAGAGCGCACCTGTAAGATATGTATGGATGAAGAAGTTAGTGTGGTATTTCTGCCGTGCGGCCATCTTGTCGCCTGTGTCCAGTGTGCACCTGCCTTGAGAAATTGCGCCATTTGCAGAGCAGCCATCAAGGGCACAGTAAGGTCGATCTTAAGTTAAGCGCTAAATCAGCGTCCGGGACATGGTTATTTCGGTATCTTAAAAGTATGCATTACAAATACATACGCATTAATGCAACGAGAACAGAATAGAAGCATCCTGAATTTTGATAATTATCAACACATTGTAATGAGAACAGAATAGGAGCATCCTGAATTTTGATGATTATCAACACATTGCAGTGAGAACAGAGTGGAAGCATCATGAAGATAAAACGATGTCAGCACAGTGCGTGTGTGTGCGTGTTTGTGTGTGTGTGTGTGCGTGTGTATGTGACAGTTTGTTCGTTGACTAAGAAAGTTGAAGCCCTGGGCTTGGAATCTCGAAAGGTTCGCTATGTTGCGCAAGCGCTCTAGCATGGCTAGCGTGCGCTATCCCGTATCTCGAAAGCATCGCTATTTTGAGCGCCTGCGCTATCATGGCTAGCGTGCGCTATCCTGTATCTCGAAAGCTTCGCAAATCCTGGCCGTGCGCTAATGTCCAAATCACCATTAGTTTCGAGGCTATTATTTGCGGCTAAACAAACTAGACGCAAGTGTTTTTACACGGTGGCTAGTTTTGTTGTTATAAGAGAAAAATGCCAGGAAAATGCTAAAAGAAGGTGTGTGAGACGTATAGATCTTATGGTAGAGTTCCAACATTATATTTTTCATCAGAGATACCGCATGACGCAGGAGAATGTGCTCAAACTGACCAATATTATTGAAGAACCTCTGAAAAGACCGACTACGAGGTCTTGAGCACTGTCACCCAATACCCAAGTTCTTGCTGCATTACGTGTACTTGCATAGGATCTCTGAGTCTCACACACACTTCCATATTCTCCTGGTATTTTTCTCTAACTCTCAGTTGGATCATTTATGAATCATTGTGGGATGAATATGGATTATTGTTTCATTAAAAATTAAATAAAATAATGAAAACTGATTTTCTCTTTAAAATGTCATATTTTATTATATTTTGCATATAATACTAAGAACTGAAATTTAAAATAAGTGTACAAAATGACAAAGGTGTAAAATTTTGATTTAATATAACAGCTAGTGTTCATTCAGGAAATTTTATAACAAATTCCAGGAATCAAAAAGACTGATACTTTAAGTCAATTACTTTTGAAGTACACTTTCAATGCAAATAGGGCAAAATAAAATCACTTTTAAGTTTGTGTAAGAAATAAAACAGACGGTCAAGTTATAATTTACATAGATTTTTTATTTTATGAAACAATAACATGATGAAAATATAAAATAAAACATAAAAATAATTTTATAAACAATTTCCTAAATGTATATTCTTGTCTATATTAAAGTACAATAAGTACTTTAATATAGACAATAAATATAAAAATAAAGTCCTTTTCAAGGACAAAAGCAAATGAAAACTATCTCTTATAAAAGATTTGTAACAAATTCCAGTTCTTTGCTGAGGTCATAAACTTAGTTTAAAATACAGTACTGAATGATCAAACTGATTCAAATATTGAAAATTACTGAATGAAAAATACTGAAAAATTATCAAAAAGAAATTGCATAAATTAAAGGAAAAAATAATACAGTCAAGTTGGCATTTTCAATATCAGCTGTATGTATATCCTTATAATCATTCTTGTACGTAAAAAAAAAATAAGTAACAAAGTTTTATTTTTCATTACATTTGTGGTGGCAGGGTCCACAATAGGTATTTTGCCAATTTTGATGCCATATAACATAATACTCAACAGCATATTCACTACAAAATTAAAATAGCATAAGTATTATGGATATCCAGACAATGTGAGTAAAAAAGGTCTTCAAGTTTTGCCTTACCTTGAAAATGCTAATATGTGAAAAAAATTAATATTTCACACATTCACAGACAAAAAAATTAATAAATAAAAATAATAATTTACCAAACTTAATTTGATCTGGATGGTTTTGAAACAAAATATTTTAATAATTTGGAACTCTCCTTATGAAAGTTTGACATTTTCCTTGCAATGTGTCATTTGAATTGCACACAGTAATATGGTCCGATCCAGGTGATATTTAAATTTGACCTGTGTTTTATGGATAATCATCAGTTCTGTTACCTTTAAGACAAAAGATGTATTTTTTTAATTTAACATGTTAGCTGTGAAAGTTCACAGTACAGGGATGATGACTGCAACAGCAGATGCAACTAATGGCTAGTACAGTGATGTACAGTAACATACAGCTAGTATGTGTCTTGGCAAAAACATAAAATATCATGATCCCAATAAGATGCACTCACTGGTAAGTATCTACAAGAGACTCACACTTTAGAACATCAAACTTCACTTTACAGTATTCTGTTATTTTTTCAAATAACACTTTATTACACTTTGTTGTCAATTTCTAATCTTTCCCTTTCTAACTGTAAACGCTTTTTCTACTTTCAACCTCTCCTCCTCTAATGCAAAGCGATCCTTCTCTACGTTGTAAAACCTTTCACTTACATCTGAAATTTGAAGATGTATGCAATTAATAATTAAATATAAAAATGATATAATAAAAACTCAATCTTTTCAATATTCTGAATTTTACAGATACTGTACTTCTAAGTCACTGTGATAATTTGTCATAAATGAACATATTCCTGTTGAGTTGCAGCAACAAAAATGAAAAGCCGACTATCCGACAATGTTGAACGCTTTCATAAGCTATATGTTTGAAATTACCAATAAAGTTTCATTTGTTAATAGGTATAGAAATCAGTAAAAATTTATGGAGATATATGTATGTATAAAATATGCCTCCTGGTGATTGGACATTCCAATAGGGCATGTCTGTGAAAATCAGTGTTGAAGTATTCATATTCACAGAGTCAGTCTAAGTTAATTACTCTACTTAATATCATCTTGAGGTTCTTAAAGCAATTAACACAGCACAAAAAATTATCTTTCCGAATTTTCAGTGTCCGCGGAATGACGTCGGAACAGTGCAAGCTGGGCTTTACATGTGCGACTTAAAAACGTTTTTCCGCGGGGGTTCCGCTTTGCCTTTTACACGACCTTTCAACAGGCGTAATCCCATACGTCTTTCTTCGTGGCTGAAAAACGTTTTTCCGCGGGGGCCCAACCTCGTTGATATGTGGCTTCCTAGGGGTCTTTCATCCAACAATACAATATAATACAGTGTTCAAGTATACCCAGGCCTGTTAGCGACTCTTAATACCTGTGTTTGTTGAGTGTTTGAATCTGTCTAACATTTAAGTATGTGAGGTTTCAATATCTTAATTAATTAATAGCAATTGAAAAAAAACTACGTTGTTCATTTCTTCTAAAAATAAATAGATGAGAGCGAACTGAATCTCATATCATTTCATAAAAAAAAAATCATAATAAATTTTCAAAACGTAATAATTGTACATGTAACTGTATGAATAATCTTTATGTGATTTGATGGAAGTGTTTAACGGCTCTCAAAATTTTTCTGTAAAGCTCAGTCTTACTCGCTTAATTTTTACTCACTATTAAATGCCTCTATGATCATAGGCTTTTTTAAGAAATTGTATTGGATTATTTTGCTTGTAAATATGTGTGACTACAGCACTGTTAACTCTGCATAGCGCCGCCATATGGCAGCACTGTTGCAGATGCGACAGTTGTCAGTCTAATCGGTCTCTCTGTAGCACTGTCAGTGGTCCTGTATTGATAACTTTGCAGTGTGGGACGTGCTTTACACCCTATATGATTCAAATGTGTTGTTTGATGTATAAAATAGATGTCATTATATCGCAGCATTAACGACCGAATTTCCAGATAAGGAATGTATTGCCTACACTGTAAAATGATTTGAACTAGCTGTTATTGATAAGGGGAATTTCCACTAAGTAAATATGCATTCATACCCTATTTTTATTTACAATTTCATACAATTTTAGCTACTCGTCCCTTACATAGCAAATGAGTAGGCCTATAAGTGGTTTCAATACCAGCAATAATAGCATACGCTTATGCACACAGCGATTTTAATTTTTCTTCAAACAAATACTTTTATCACTGACATGTCTAATTCAAAGCACCCCTCCCAACATCAAAATCTCAGGTGGATTGTTGATATTCGAAGGTTTGGTGAAGGTGACTTAACAGTGGACTGCTAGGCCCATTAAATTTAAATCTGATAGCAATTAATTAGTTGGTAAGCTTACATGAGGAAGCTACCCTTCATGCCTTTTCTACAAATAATCCAATCCAGCGCTTTCCTTACTCAAAATCTCAAGCTGTAACGTCCGACTTAATCAGCATAATTGGCTCAAAAACAATATTTGAAGGCTGAAAGAGCACTGATATCAAGACCTCTTCTTCACGTTTNCTCTGTATATATATATATATATATATATATATATATATATATATATATATATATTGTGCAATTTATTTTAGGTGCCAAGTACGTTGGTGACATGCATATGTGTGTTAGTACACTTTTCAAGACATTTGCAATATAACAGTTTTTAAGAGATCGGTGCCTATGTATTAATTGTTTAAGAAAATTTGAGAATATTCATATGATACATTCCTTCTGATAAGTGTTAGTCATGCATGTAGGCCTATCTTACCTTATATATTTATATCATGCTGATAGCATTCATCTTTATACGGATTGTTTTTATGCATGATAATTAAATCAGTTAAGGGAACAATTAAGATATCCACGGTAATAAAGTAATATTAAGTGCAATAAGTAAGATATGAATGTAAAGAAGTAATCTTCTCTGGCATATAGTTTAACCATCCAGTTGGAATAAGGTTATCCTGGCCTAGTTATTTTCTGACCATTTGAATTCAAGTAGCAAAATACTGGCCCCAAACATTATTGATTGTCCTTGACATATCATTGTACAGGGCAGTAATGCCATAATGTTTATGTGTTTGCATGATATATATAAAACTGTACAGAGGGACTGAAAATGTTTCTGACAATAGTAAGTGGCTTGTTATTGAATATAACATTCTTGCATATACATATATGTATTTATATATGTGACATTATCTTTAACGCCACTGATAATATGACAAGACAAAGACGTGAATGCAGTTACCATTACAACTGTATGCGGTTTTATCAATATAAACAGTGTTTTTTGCTAAGGTGCAAAAGACGACGTTATAATTTTATTACATGTAGAGTACTTTTATATATATATTTGTTCCTTGGGTGTATACTATTGGAGTGAAAAGAACTGTTTGTATAGGTTCCTTTTTATGATGAGCTCTTCCAGTGGTGTAAACCTCTGGTAAATCACTTGGTGTAAAAACCAACTAGAAGTATATCCATTTCATGTAGAAACTTACATAAAAAATAAATAAATATGATTCCGTAAGTGAATGCGCCAATAAGTAAGGGATTATGTTTATTTAAGGCATCTCCGTTGTGCACAACTTAAAGTACAAATTCATTATCACGAAATGAAGAGCTAGTATATATACCTTCATTTATAAATGCCAAACTTGCAGTCAAGGCAGTATACAGTAATTACAATACTATATTTTATCCAATCTCAAGTACAGATATGAAATGTTCCACAAAGGCATGTTATTTAAAGACATATTACCCTGTTTACGTGCACTTACGTAACTACACAAAATGTAGATGTTTTGTAAGGGATCATGCTGTTGACATATTGTTTTACAAAATAATGCATAGATTCCATAAAACACCTATGACTTGCAATGTTTAATTATATAGATATATTAATATTATCAAGGTGCAGTTAAATGTCCTAAATTTTTGACAATGGATATTTTTGGACCTACTTCACATCACACACTGCTACTTGACTCTGAAAGGAGAAGGACATGGCTCTCCTGCTATGACTTTATAGACTCCACAGTTATGTAAGTGCTTAAGTTTGCTTTAATTTATGTTTATCAGAATTATTGTTTTAAACTTTATTTGTATTTGTAACATTAAGTGTATGTGTGCTCATTGTCTTGTCTGCTTATTGGCTAATTGGCTATTT